GCTTATGAATACATGTTTCAGGCATTCCAGAACCGTGCGAATCCCAATTCTAATGCGACAAGGCCGCGAGGTGGAACCAGCGAGTCCGGAGGCCTTCCATATGCCGGTAGTGGAAGGTTTGCCGGCACAATATCAAGAGCTGCTGGTTGTGCCAGAAATCGATCCGTACACAGTGATTAGGAATGCTGATGGGTCGGTAATAATTGGTAAGTTAAACTTATTTTATCACTACATTTAAATTTGATACGGATGATTTGTATAGATGTTTTCTTCTAATGCATGTCATCTTTTCAGAATGCGGCATGTGTCCTAAAGAATTCGGGACGCTAAAGAGATAGGGATTCACGCCGCCAAAATGCATTGACAAACTGGTAAATTCAACTTGAAATATTATTGCTTAGATTAAGCGCAGTTTTTGAAGGAATTTTATTTAACGAAAGTTTATCTGAACATTTTCAGTATAATATATCTGTTTCAGGCTTTTGCCAGAAATGCGGCCATTTCATTAATATGCCGCACGCTAATTCAGTGTTCTCTTCACGCAGGTCATTTATTTTTTGCTGCTGATTTTTTTTCCATTTTTCATTTTTTACGGTTTTGTTAATTTTCTCGTTCTATTTGTTGTTTTCTTTAGAATTAAAGTTACTTATTATGTATTTTGTATTATTAATTCACCAATTTTTGTTATTCTCATTTTGTTATTCTCAAAAAATCACAACAAAACTCCTGAATTTTTAGATTCCCCTTTTTGATTTTCCTTTGAATTTTTGATCTCCCTTGCTCAGCAGCGATTTTTTTTTTAAATTTTAAATCCGCTTGATAAATTCGAGAAAAGTGCGTCCTCAAATTATCTGATCATGGCGAAAATTCTTTTGCCGCATTAAATTCCCTTGTTTTGTCGTTGTGATTTTTGCTCCTGTTTTTTTTTGACTTTATTCTGTTAATATTATTTTTTGATTCATGTTTTAAAATACCAAAAAAAAGAGCAAAAAAATCAAAAAACAGAAAAAAGAACCGAAAAATAAAAAAATATGAAGACAGACAATAAAAATAAAAAAATATGAAGACAGACAATGAAATAAAAAGAAATATTAAAAAAAGAAACAGAAAAAAGGAAAAAAGTGAAACAAAGAAAAAAATGATAAAAATGAAAAAAAGACATAAATAAAAATAAAAGTAAAAAAAAGAAAAAATAAAAAAAAAGAAAGAGAAAAAATTGTTTCATCTTTTTTGTTTGTTGTTTATACTTATGTGGTCTATATTATTAGTTTTCCATTTTATTTGTGTTTGCAGTTACTCATACTTCTTTCTCCTTGATGGCATCTGTTTTAGATGTATTCTTTTTTCGCTGTTACTAATTTTATCCTTGTATTAATGATTTTAACTACATCGGATTAAAGTAATGTTTGTTTGCTGCAAATTTCATGTGTGTTTATTCTTTTTTTCTTTAATTTTGATTTTAGAGTTTTTCATGTGACTGTAATTAATTTTGGCTATTTTTCTTATATCTTTGCTGCTTATATAATTATATGTTCATATTATTGGCGTATTTACTAATTTTGTTTACTTTATGATGTTTTTATTCCCATTCAAAACACGGATGTTTTCATTTTAGATGACTTTTTAACGTGTTATGCGGTTTAAATAGTTTAAATTTAGGTAGTTGAAACTTAAATGATTTAAATACTTGTCAATTTTTTTTATCTTTAATTTTTAAGATGTATTTTTAATTTTTTAGAATACTTCTAAAAGTCCATGGTATTTTGTAGTTTTGATAGTTCAAATTACAATAAGTCTTTATTATTTAAAGTTAAGAATTATTGCTGAGGTTTCTGGAGTAGATGAAATTTAATTGTCAGTTCTTTTGTTGAACTAACTTTATTTATAATGATGAAAATTTAGAGATCTGATGTCAGAGGATACTGACGCTATTAAATACTTGATGTTTATTTTAATTGTTGGAGTTTATCTCAGTCTTTGTCACCTCTAAAAAAGTTAAAATCCAAAAGTTTGAAGTGGTTGCATTTTTAGATTATCTATATCTTCATCTGTTACCGCCATCTATTCGTCATCTATAAATTAATTCATTTGGTCGGAAAGATGGTACTAATTATAATATTTTGTAAATACTGGCTCGTTTCACTGTTGTGTCATCTATAACAGTCAAATATTTGGATTGTTGTAAAGCATTTATATTTGTTAAATCTAAATTTTATTCTATTTTTATAGCGTTTGCATGTTTGTTTGTCTGCATGTTTGCTGGTCATTTTTTTACTTGTCTATTGTTTACATTTTTGTTTATTATATGTTTGACATTGCAATATTTATTGTCATCTTTTATTATTATTATTCTTGTGTCAGTAAAATTGAAAATTTTTTTGTCTTTTTCGGTAGTTTAGTTATATTTCTAGGTATGTTTTCCATTCAACTTAACTCTTATCGCATACTGTCCTAAGTTAATAATCATCAATAATATTCGCTTGTTTTCAAAATAGTAGTTTAATTATATTTTTGTATGCAAGAAGAGCTTTTTCTACTTTTGTTTCATGAAAACTTCAGTGCTTTTTCCGTGTACTTCTATTTACCGCATTTTTTTATGTATTTTTTTTTATTAATAACTTTTTTGACCCTGTATATATCGAATTTTATTCTTTCTCAATCAACAATACAAATAACAAGAACTATATGTTTTTTTTCTCCCAGAAAAATTGTCATAGAGAATGATTTTGGGAATTTCGAGAATTTCACATTTATGCCTAACATCATTCGTTGTTCACAATCAAAAATTGAAAATACATGAGCAAAATTGGATATATCGTAAAGTCCACTTGTTAGGCTGCAAGAAAGAAGCCGTATTTTCTTTTTTTCCGTTATCAAAATATTGCTTTATGATTGCTGGGAATTTTGTAATATTTCATCTTCCTTTCCTCAGATCATTTCCGTTCAAATGTTTTTATTGTTCACTTTATGCTAACACAATATTTGCTTTACTCCAGTCAAAATTCTCCCTTATAATTTGATATTTCCTAACTTCTTTTCCAGCACTTTCTATCTTTGAAATTTGTTGCATATTTGCGATAGAATTAATTGTAAAACATTCAATCTATTTAATTTTACTAGTGTTTGTTAATATCGTATTTTGAATATAATCTGATTAATCATATTTGTTTTTGATATTGAAAAGTTTGAGCTGCAGTTAATTGTATGTATATTTAAACTATTTTTAGCAGTAGCTGAATAATTGCTGGAGGTTTTTCCATTGTTAACTTTGTTTATTGTTTCAAATTATAAGTTAATATCCAATTTCTATGATTGTCCTGGCAGTTTCTTCTAAAAAAACCGACATTCTAATCTGATAGATATTTATCACGCCTTTTACCTAACATATTATTGGCGGATTATTATATTTGGTGGTCAATCAGAGTGCACCTAAAGTTAGCATGGTAGTTGTAAAAAATGAACTTCTAATAAAACCTTGAAATGAGATTTACAAAGATTTGCAGCTTCCCAAAAGCACTGTCTCCCTCATAATTGGTACTGTCATTTAATAATGAAAACATGTATCTCTCAGATTTTTTAAATCTTACTTTTTTTCGAACTTTGTTCAAATTGTTTAAATTTCGGGATTGTTTTCACTTTATGCAAACTTTTGAATTCCTCTATTTCCAAATTTCTTCAAAATTCTGAATTGCTAAATTTTCTTCCAGTACTGATATATCAGTTTTT